TCTTGGGGCCTCTTGGGGGCATCTTGGGCCGTCAGGAGGCCATCTTCGGTGTCTTTGATCGCTCTTGGGCTGTCTGGGACCATATTGAGCTCTCTTGGAGGCCACTTGGGGCGCTCCTGGAGCGCTCTTGGGGCCCTTTTCGGGGCCCTGTTGGGCCGTCTTGGACGCTTGTTGGGCCGTCTTGGGGCCCTCTTGGGCTATCTTGGGACCCTCTTGGGGGTTTCTTGGGCCGTCTTGGGGCGGTCTTCGGGGCCTCTTGGGCCGTCTTGGAGCGTCGGAAAGCCCAGAAAGCGAATTTGTGAAAATTATACGTTTTACGAAGGGAATGGGCCAATTTTTGCGTCTAGGGACCCTCTTGGGACGCATCTTGGAGGCCTCTTGGGGCCTCGTGGGGACCTCTTGGGCCGTCTTGGAGGCCTCTAGGCTCGTCTTGGGGCCATCTTGGGCGTCTGGGAGCGCTCGTTTGGCGTCTCGGGGCCCTCGTGGGCCGTCTTAGAGGCCTCTTGGGGCCTTCTGGGCCCGTCTTGATCCCCTTTTGGGCCCAAAAGAGCCCCGTGGCGCGCTCGTGCTGGGCCCGGGGGGGGGGGGTCAAATCTCCGGTTTGGGGTCCCTGGGGGGGGATTATGGGGGGGTACAATCCTAACACGCCTAGAGACCCACAAGGGGTCGGCGGATTTATGTATGCATGTATGTATGTATGTGTGTATGTATGTATGTATGTATGTATGTATGCATTCATGCATGCATGCATGCATGCATGTACGTGTGTGTGTGTGTGTGTGTATGCACGTCGGTATGTGTGCGCTATTTTCACATATTTACGTATCTACAAATATACATACATACATACATACATACATACATACATACATACATACATACATACATACATACACACATACACACACATACATACATACATGCATGCATACATACATGCATGCATACATACATACACACATACAAACACACATTAATACATACATACATACAACACTACATACACACATACATACATACATACACACAAACATGTATACATCCATCCATCCATCCATCCATCCATGCATCCATACATACACACATACATACATACATAGTTACATACATACATACATACATACATGCATACATGCATACATGCATACATGCATACATGCATACATGCATACATGCATACATGCATACATGCATACATGCATACATGCATACATGCATACATGCATACATGCATACATGCATACATGCATACATGCATACATGCATACATGCATACATGCATACATGCATACATGCATGCATACATGCATACATGCATACATGCATACATGCATACATGGATACATACATACATACATACATACACACATACACACACATACGTGCATACATACACATACATGCATACATACATACACACATGCATACATACATACCGGGGGGGGCGGGCCAGTGTCGTACCCCCCCATGGGGTGATTGGGGAGGTCCCAGGGCTCCCGGGACTGCCCGGGCCCGCTCCCAAACACGCCACGACACGCCAAGAGGGCCTTGAATATTGCCAAGACAGCCCCCCGATGATGGCCTCAGGACGGCCGGCGACGCCGCCAAAACGCCCTAAGAGCGCCTCCAGAGGCCCCTCCAAAGGGCCCCAGAAGCCGAACATCATTAATTATCCGATGGTTTTTTAAGCATTTTTGCTCTCTCCCATGTTCCGCCTCCTCACGGTCCCGGACTGCGTCAGAGGCCCTTCAGATCGCTCCAAGACGGCCGAAGAGGCTCCCAAGAAAGCCCAGAGACGGCCCAGGAGGCTCCCCAGACAATTCAAGAGGGCCTCGAGAGCGCCCCAAGAGAGTCCCAAGAGCGACCCAAGAGGGCCCGAAGAGCGCGACATTTCAGGGTTCCGGGCTTGAGAGGCTCCTTGGACGCCCCCGGAGGCCATCAAGAGGCTCCCAAGAAGCCCCGTGAGGCTCTCAAGAGGCCCCCGGGACGCTCCAATAGGCCCCCAAGGGGCCCCCTGGGAAGCCCCTTGCGGGCCCCCAAGACACCTCGGTAAATCGTATTTCCCAGACAGCTTTCCAGGAACATGATTCCTTGGGCTTCCGCTCACCGCCCCAACCATGTTTCCAATAGGCTTGTCGACAAGGCCAAAGGGGGCCCTTCGGTAAGCCCCCAGAGGCCCTCCTCTTAAGAGAGCCGAAGAAATCATGCTTCCAGAATGCTTCCCGGGAACATGATTCTCTATCTCGGAGTAGGCCCGGGGGGGGGGGCGGGCCGCTGCCTGTTCCCCCCATCGGTGCCCATCGGGGGTTGTGGGGGGGGGTCCAGAGTTCCCGAGGTGGCCCGAGCCCGCCCCGAAACAGGCCACGACAGGCTCACCACCCACCAAACCACCCCAACCCAACCCGAAGGCCTCAATGTGCCTTCCATTTCCAGTGGGGGGGGTCGGGGAACATGGGAAAAACACATATGGAGCCCATCCCCCCCCAACCCGAAATTCGGGTCTTCGGGTTGGGTTGGGGTGGTCTGGTAGGTAGTCACTAAGGGTGTCCCGAGAGGGCCCAAGACGGTCCCAAGAGGCCCCGAAGACGCCCAAGATGCTCTCAAGACAGCCGACGAGGACTCCAACACGCTCCAGGACGGACTCAAGAGGCTCCCCAAGAGGGGCCTGGGAGGCAATATTCACTCATTTTCTGAGTGTTTTGGATTTTGGCGTTCTCGCTTTTCCCGCTTTCCAGCGCTCCCTCACGGCCTCGGAGGCCCTTCAGATCGCTCCAAGACGGCCTACGAGGCCCCGAAGGAGGCCCCGAAGAAGGCCCCAAGACGGCCCAGGAGGCTCCCCAGACAACCCAAGTGTGCCCCAAAAGCGCCCCAAGAGAAGGCCCAGAGGGGTCCCGAGGCGGCCCGGGCCCGCCCCGAAGCAGGCCACGACAGGCTAATGGAGGCCCCGAGAGGGCCCAAGACGGTCCCAAGAGGCCCCGAAGACGCCCAAGCTGCCCTCAAGACGGCCGACGAGGACTCCAACACGCTTCAGGACGGACTCAAGAGGCTCCCCAAGAGGGCCCTGGGAGGCAAGATTCACTCATTTTCCAATGGCTTTTGAAGGATTTAGGCGTTCTCGCTTTCCCCGCTTCCCAGCGCTCCCTCACGGCCTCGCTCGGAGGCCCTTCAGATCGCCCCAAGACGGCCCACGAGGCCCGAAGAGGGCCCAAGACGGCCCAAGAGGCTCCCCAGACAACCCAAGTGTGCCCCAAGAGCTCCCCAAGAGGGGGCCCAGAGGGGGACCGCCAACCGATATTTCGAGGTCTCTGGCCCTAGAGGCCGCCTGTAGGCCCCCGGAGGCCACCAAGAGGCTCCCACGAAGCCCCGTGAGGCGCCCAAGAGGCCCCCAGGAAGCCCCAATAGACCCCCAAGGGGCTCCCAGGGAACGCCCAAGAGGCCCCCAGACACACCCCAAGAAATTAGGTCCCCTGAAAGCCTTCCGGGACACGGTGCATCATGGGCCCGAGAGTTCCCGGAGGCCCCCAAGGGCCCCCAGGGAACGCCCAAGAGGCCCCCCAACACACCCCAACAAACCATGTCCCCAGAAAGCCTTCCGGGGACTTGGTTCATCATGGGCCCGCGAGTCTCCGGAGGCTTCGAAGTACCATCATGCTATAGGAGAGCTGTCTGGGAAGTTGCCTGGGAACATGACTGATCGCCTTATCGCGGCCCTCCGCAGTTCGTTTCGCGCAAAGTTGCCCCAAGTGCCCTCTTGAACCGACGACGACGGCGAAACGACGAAGACGAGGACGACAATGACGACGACGGCGCGCCCCAAGAGGCGACGACGACATTACGACGACGACGGCACGCCCCAACAGGCTCCCCAAGACGTACCCCAAACCCATGCTCCCAGAAGGCCTTCTGGGAACCCGATTCATCCAGCCTCCGCCCCCCTACGCAACCATTTTCCCCGAAGCCTTTCGGAATGCGGATTGGCATACGTGGATTGTGGTCCACTACTTCAGTGGAGCAGTGAATTCGTCCAGGCCTGGGGCCTGCTAGAACCTGAGCGCTCGCGAAGCGCGCGCGATGGTTCTAGTGTGTGTGTATATATATATGTAGAAAGATCGCTTGGCTCACACGCAGGTTGTTTGCCTCCAAGTGCCGCTGAGGGCCGTTTGCTTAACGTCTGTGCTCAAGCTTGCGCGGGCCCCTGCACCATGCTCTGTGGCCTTTCCCCGTGCAAAGGCTACGCAACCCAAGTCACTGTATCATCCCACTCTCGGTGCAGATCGATGCTGGCCTGCCCTTTGTGCCCGTTCCGTCCGACGCCTCATTTATGGTGATGATGGCGACTGCTATTATGATACTTTAAGTGGTGATGATGATGATGGTGGTGGTGGTGGTGATGGTGGTGTTTGTGATTACTGTGTTGATATTTGCCATGATGATGACGTGAGGTTGATGATGACGAGAATTTGGATGATGATGATGACTCTGATGATTCTGATTATAATTATGATTATGATGATTTTTATAATGATGATGATGATGGCGATGACGATAATGATGATGATGCTGCTGTTGTTGTTGTTGTTGTTGTTGCTGTTCAGTGGTGATGATGGTGATGCTGCTGAGGAACATGATGATGGTGGTGATGATGATGATGCTGATGCGCTGATGATGATGATGATGATGACGATGATGATGATGATGATGATGATGATGATGATGATGATGATGATGATGATGATGATGATGATGATGATGATGATGATGGTGATGATCATGATGCTGCTGCTGGTGGTGGTGGTGGTGATGATGATGATGATGATGATGCTGATGGTGATGCCAGTGGTGACTACGAGGATTGCCATGAGGTTGAGGATCATGATGAGGTGTGAGAAGAGGGGGATGATTGTCAGTGGGAGAAGGTGGAGGGAGTGATGGGCGAAAAACGAGGATTTGTCTTCTGTTACCAGAAAGTTCAGACCCAATGAGCTTGCGACCGCTCAGAGGCAGTCGGCGGCGTCGCGGAGAGCCGTGACGTTGGCGCCGGCGGTGGCGCCGCGAGAGTGCACTTGGAGGCGGGGCTGCAGTGCGGCCGCGGCGAGGAGGGGGCACGTGTGGGCGGGGGTCGATTTCCCAGCGGGAGCTCCGCGAGCTGTGTTCGCTCGCTCCCGCTTTCCGCCCACGGAAGTATCGAGAAAACGCAGACATGGATGAGGGCCCGTGGATTAGCGACTGGCCCCGTTTCCACGCGTAATCGGCGCGCCACGCCGCCAAAATGTGGCGGCGATGGCTTCGTGCTTCGGGGGGTACCTTCCTGGATCCGTGGATTTGGCACCCACGCGCCAAATCCACGGATTTCCAATCCATGTTAGCGCGTGCGTGAAAACACCACCCGAAACTCAGCACACGCGGTGGCCGCAGTCCGATGGACAAACACAATGGGCGCCAGTGCAGACACCAGGTGCGCCGCGCTCGCGAAGTGCGCCGCGAGTGCCAGGCTCGCCGTGCGCACAGGGTGCATCAGGTGCGCCAGGTGCCCGGGGTGCCTAAGGGTGCCAGGCGCGCCTGGTGCGTCAGATGCGTTGCGTGCGCGTTGAGTGCAGAATGTGCTTCACATGCACCAGTTGCGCAGCGTGCGCGACGTTCAAAGAGTGGTCCACTTGCGCCAATGCGCGTGACAAAACACATCGGGCGATGCCGACACTTCCGACAGCCTTGTCAGAAAACATCGCAAAGTGACGGCGAGGTGGCGACGGACAGTATGATCACACCCCAACATAATGTCAAAACTCATTTGGAAGCCTCTAGTGGGCGCCAGGACACGGGCTGTGGGTTGGGATGGTAAAGCGCGTTCTGGGGCAGGGCCCGCTCGAATGGGGGAATGAGTTTGTGTTTGTGTCTGTATTTGCTGTGTATCCATGAAGACTATGTTATAGGGCGCATGTGTAGGGTGATGACGGGGAAAGGCAGAAATAGAAACGGGATGGTGCATGAGAGTGAGAATGGGGGGGACAGGGAGGGGAAGTGGAGGAGAAAGGACACAGCCACAGTAAACCGAAGATGCGTCAACGATGCTGCAGCACACCCTCCCGTCCTGAACCCCCTCTTCTCAAGTCCCTACAGACCTTCCTTTTGATTGCAAGAGCCCCCCCTTGAACGACCAGCACCTTTTCGGGCCTCTTATTCAGGCGAGAGCTCCGTTGTGAAGGCAATTTCCTTATACATTTTCAGCAAAATTATATTGGACAGGGTCATATTGTTCAGCGGCGTGTCAGCGATACTTCCGTTTTGGGAGGAAAGGGCCTCTCATGCTTGTAATTGCCGCGCAAATTTCAGACTTTTGGTCACGAACTTTGAGGAAGACTCGAGTGATCAACCAATTTTGAAAAAGAGTGGTCTCGTTTCCTTCGCTTGGTCTTGCTTCCTTCAGTCCTTAAGTGGCTTTGCCCTGGGTTTTTTTGGTCTTGTGTCTTTCCTATGGCCTTCTCTGGGGTTGCTTGTTCTTGCTTCGTTACTGTGGCGTTCTACTGGGCTGCTTGGTCTAGTTTTCTTACTGTGGCCTTCCCCAGGGTTGTTTGGTCGTGCTTCCTTACTGCATTCCCTGGGCTGCTCGGTCTTCATGATATGCTGCATTTCCTGGGTTGTTTGGTCCTCCTCTCCAAGCAGTTCCAAGCAACTCCAAGCAACGCCAAGCACCGCCAAGCAACGCCAAGCAATGCCAAGTAATGCAAAGCAGCGCCAAGCAACGCCAAGCAATGTAAAAAAGCGTCATTTAACGCCATGCAATGCCAGACAATGCCAAGCAATACAGGGCACCATCAATCAAAACTATGCAATGCCAAGCAACACCAAGCAATGCAAAGCAATGCCAAACAGCGCCAAGTAACGCGAACCAGCGCCAAGCATCGTCAAGCCATGCCATGCAACGCCAAACAATGCTCCCATGCAGTAGGAAGCTTTCCACTAATTCGGGTCGCGCCAGGTTTATTTGAAAAGAAAGCTTCCTTCGCCAATGTATCTGCTGCAAGTTTTTAAGACAAACGAGTTCGGCGTCATGGCGATAGCCCAGTTTTGAAGGGGGTCGTCCTGCGTCATCATGCATGCTACAAGATTGTTGGACTACTTTGCGCGGCGCTATGGCGAGAGCCCCATTCTGAACATGAGCCCCCTACATGATTGTACTTGGTGGGATCTTTTGAGCCGAATGAATGTGGCGTTGCGGCGAGAGCCCCATTCGGCCCCCCCCCGTTCATCCTTGGAGTTGTTCAAGATTCTGAGAGGAAAGTGCGCGGCGCTGCGACGAGAGCTTCAGTGTGACCCCCCCCTTGTCCTTGTAGCTGTTGGCAATTAAAAACCTGCAGGGTCATAATTTGCGGACGATGACGTCGAGTGTGCGGACGATGTAGCATTGATTTGCCAGTCGTCCGTTCGTTTGCAGTGCGCCCTCGACAGCCTGCTTTCGCGGGCCGCTCCGTCCGGCTTGTGGCCTAATTGGGACAAGACCGTAGTGTTGCAGATTGGAAATCCGCCACGCATATACGATCCGAGCGGCCAGCCCATCCCGAAGGCAGAGCAGCACATCTATCTGGGCGGTGTGCCCATCACTAGCGGCAGTGCCAGGTGCGCCGTGGCACGCAGGGTAGGCGAGGCGCGCAACTCCTGTCCGCTCCTGAAGAAGGCATGGAGCCATTCATCCTTGGGCCGTGCAAGGAAGCAACGCATACACGAAGCGTGTGTCGTCGCAAAAGTATTCTACAGCTAGGAGACGGAACGATTAAATAAGGCAGAGTTTTCTCGCATCATTTTGTTCCTTGCATGCGGAATATATGGGGCATCCCTGATCCGATGATATCCCGGGTGTCTTACCTCGAGATTTTGAAGAGCGTCGTCGAGCCCGCTGGCGGACCATATAGTTGCCAAACAGATGTGTTTGTTTGGGCGGGTGGCCATGATGCCCAACGAATCCATCGCACGACGCTCAGCATGTCAACCTTCTTCCACAACGTTGGCACGCGCAGGGGGTGCTCAAAAACGAGGGTGCCCAAATGTGTCGTGGGGCCAGAGAGTCAGGGCGCATGCACTGAGCGCCGCGCAGCAGGACGAGGACCGGCTAGCAGCAACGCTGTCGACTGGTAGCGGTTCTCTTCAGAATTGGAAGGCCAGTGTGCGGCAGCATTGCCGTTCTCTTTCATAGCGGCTTGCCTTCTTACGGTTGCCCCCCGCCGGGTCCTCCCCCCATCTCTTCTTTTCCCCCGTTATCCCCCCCCCCGCGTAAGCTGAGCATGCGAGTCGCTATGGCGCTGTTTTTCTGTTTAGCACACCATGCGAATCGCAGCCGGTGTGCCATCATGGCACGGCTTCTTCGTTCGTTCGCTCGGTCATAATTTGTGGGGGCGTTTAGGCAAAACGCTCGGCCCAAATGTGTTATCCAACAGGGAAAAGGATGGAGGGGAAGGAGTCTACAACAGGTGGGGCGAAGTGTTCAACAGGTGTTATCCAGCAGGGCAAAAGCAAGAACTGGTGGAGGAGTACTGAGTAACAAGAGGATGATGACGAGGGGGATGGGACGATGATGATGGGGGCGAAGAAAACCGATACCAGGCAGGCTGGAGAAGTGGGGGACATTGGTGATGGGGATGGGGGAACATGAGGACAAAAAGGGGAGGAGGAGGGGGAATAGTGATGAGGAAAACGATTGTTGCATAGGGATCATGAGGTAGAGGATTGTGGATGATGAGCCAGGGGGAGGATGGAGTGGAGGATGATAAGGAGGTTGACGTTAATGTCATCCGCCAGAGCCCGATACCATGCGCGATTTGTTCGTCGTCGAATCGTTCGACCATTTTGGTGTCAGCCGATTATTGAAAATTGTTTGTTTTGACATTCCTCGTTTTCGCTTGTTTGACCATGTCAAAAGGGGCTTTTACTTGTTTGTGAAATGACCAGTGGGTCCAAGGTGCTTCCTGGTGCCTCCCCTGGGATCTTCGAGCTCCTTGGTTTGTGGTTCCTTACTTGGGTTCTTTGGGGTTGACTGAGGCTTCTCGGGTTCTTCGCGTGGGTTCCTTATTCGGGCTCCAAGGGTTTCCTCAGGGTTCTCGGGTTCCCTGGTTTTGGTTCCTATCAGTGCCTAGCAGTGCCTAGCAATGCCAAGCAACGCCATGTCACGCCAAGCAGTATAAACCAATGCCAAGTAAAACCATGCAACGCCAAGCAGTCTCAAGTGTTGCCAAGCAGTGCCAAGCAATGCCAAACATTGCCACGCAATGCCAAGCAACGCCAAGTAGTGCGTCCATGCAATGGGAGCATGTTTTCTTCAATCGGGGACTCGCTGGGTTCATGCCGTTCTGTCTCGACCGACGGAGTTCGATCGAGTGCCACCGTTCAGGTCTAGATCGCGTGACTCCGGTTCACTCGATCCGCCGTTTCGACCATGATCGATCTGACTCGACCCACCGCTTCGACCTCAGGCCCGTTGTGTTGGCACCTGGCTTCCTAGCCCCGGGCCGAGGCCGTCGGCGGCATCGCCGTGGGCCCCGACACCCCTGTTGGCGGCGCGGCGGCGGGCGTGGAGGCCGAAACGCAGGCTGGCGGCGGCGAGGCGCGGGGGGGAAGCTTCTCCTTCCACTTGGCAGGGGCCGAGAGCCTCGGCGACGGGCTGTCAGCGGTGGTGCGGCCGGCTGATTTCCATTCTTGAGGCTACGTGCGTGGCGTCAGTTTGTCCGTCGCAGGTGTTGTGCCCTCGTGTGGAGTGCACACGTGGGAGTGGTTGACGCACCAGTGATGACGAAGCAGGTGCTTCTCCTGCCACTGGCAGGGGCTGGGAGCCTCTGCGACGGGCTGTCCGAGGTGTTGCGGCCAGCTGGCTTCGGTTTCCCACGAACCCGTGTCCCGGGCAATCTGGGGCCCTTTTGGAGCCATCCTGCGTGGCGCCCTGTCCGGACCCAAGAGGCGGGGGCAGCGGGAGAGGCAAACCCTTCTCCGAAGGAGAAGAAGGGATTGGAAGATGACACGTTCTAAAGCACCTGCGCCTTAAAGGTCCGATGGGATTCGTCATGAACCATTGTGTCACGGATTCGCTAACACCTAACCTGTGTCCATGGTAGGCGCTTGATAGTAGGCCGTGGTAGAGGGAGCCGTCCGAGCTTGAATCACAAAGGTTCGTGGTGATCGAGTCTTTTGTTTCATGCGCTCGGTACATGTCTGGTGTGACGAGAGTTCTGCCAGAGTTGGCAATGGTCCCGACAGCATGTTGGACGGTTGGTGCCAGGCGGCACCCAGTTGCGGAGTGAGCAGACTTGTGCACTGCTGATTCTGTTGGCTGGTCCGTCTTCGAGACAGGCAGTTACCTTCCTGGGTGCGGGCTGTCTGAGGTGCTGCAGTCAGCTGGCCCCAATTCATCATGAACCTATGAATCACGGATTCGCTAACACCTCACCTGTGTCCATTGTAGGCGTTTGATAGTAGGCCGTGGTAGAGGGAGCCGTCCGAGCTTTAATCACAAGGGCTCGTGGTGATCGAGTCTTCTGTTTCATGCGCTCGATACATGTCTAATGTCGCGAGTGTTCTGCTGGAGTCTCCACCGGTCCCGGATGCATGTTGCAAGGTTGGTGTCAGGTGGCACCTGGATGCGCAGTGAGCAGACGTGCGTATTGCTGATTCTTGGGGTTGGTCTGCATTCTACGCGGGCAGTATCCTCCGGGGTGCTCATGGTGATGAGCGCCAGAGTCGGAGGCACTTTCGCCGAACGATGATGACCAAGCAGGTACTTCTCCTTCCACTGAATGGGGATGATCATCTCCGCGACGGGCTGTCTGAGACTCTGCTTCAGGCTCAGGCTGTGGTGTACAGATTGGCCCGAGCTTCTGCCACACGCTTAAAGTTCTACAATATACCGCTTTGCACCGAGATGATGACGGGCCAGCTTCTGTCTATGCGCGCTGCGTCTGTTCACCTGTCGCCGGTGTTGCACCCTGTTGCATTGATCAGGGACGTGTGGGAGCACGCAGTGGAACAAAGAGGGGGCTGACCGCCAAGTCGAAGACTGGGCTCAGCATGAGCAGGCCCATTCGACGCGGCCAGTACCCTCTTGGGCACTCTTGTGTAGCTTACTTGGGCCACCTTGGAGCCATCTTGAAGTCCTTTGGGGGCTTTATTGGGGCCCTCTCTGGTCTTTTGGGGGCCTTGGGGACCTCGTGGGGCGCTCTGCAAGAACGGTTCTTTTGAAGGCAGATCTGCCGTCAGAGAAGCCGTTCTTACAGAGTTCCAGTCTTTCCTCCTTGGGACCCTTGGGGGCCTTGGGGGCCATCTCGGAGGGCATTGATCAAAAAATGTGTTGATGTCAATTCGCCTCGGCCCCTGAAGCCCGAAAGGTCGCTTTTCCGGGGCGCTCGTGGGGCGCTCTCGTGGCGCTCTTGGGCACTCTTGGAGACGTCTTGGGCCTCTCTCTTGGGGTCCTCGTGGGCCATCTTGGAGCAATCTTGAGGCCCCGGAGTGCATTTTGAGGCGAAGCGGCGAGAACGCCAGAAATAGTTGGCGTAGGTGTTGGAAGGGTTCCGGTCTCTTGTGGGTATCATCCTTGGGGGCTCCGTAGCCACTCGGGGCCACCTTGGGGGAGTGGTGGCCCTCTTGAGCCATCCTGCGGTATCCTGAGCCATCTTGAAGGATATCATAGTCTCCCTGAAGCAATACTGGGACGATGCTGGCCCACAAGCCTCCCAATGATGCCCCCGAGATGCCAAAATCTTTGGAAGGTTCTGAGCGAATGGGGGATCCTCAGTCAGCCCCCCCCCTTGGAGCTTCTAAAATCGCCTCTTGGGGCCCTCTTGTGGCGCTCTTGGAGGTGCCTTGGAGCCCTCTTGGGCCTCTCCTGGGGCCCTCTTGGAATATCTTGGAGCCATCCTGAGGCCTCGACGCCCATTCAAAGCAAAACGGCGAGAACGCAACAGACATTGATTAGTCTAGGTTTGGGAAGGTTATTGACCTCTTGGGGGAATCCTTGGGTGGCTCCGTGGCTAGCTGAGGCCGTCTTGGAGCGGTCTCGGGGCCTCTTGGAGCGTGGTGGAAGCCCTCTCGAGCGATCTTGCGCTGTATTGAGCCATCTTTTGGAGGCCATCTTCTGGCCATCTGGGGCCCTCTTGGAGCCATCTTGGGCCCTCTTGGAGCCATTTTTTGGAGCCATCTTTTGGAGCCATCTTTTGGAGCCATCTTTTGGCCATCTGGGGCCCTCTTGGGGCCCTCTTGGGCCATGTTGGACACTTCAACGACCGGCGGGGCGCCCTGTCCGGATCCAGGGGGAGAGGGCAGGGGGAGTGATACACCCCTGCCCGAACGGGAAGAAGGGTGCTGCAAGAGGAAGCGCTCTAAGCCGCCTACGCCCTGAAGGGTGGTGGGGTTCGTCATGAACCTGTGTGTCACCACCTCGGCCCGCCCTCCGGCCGCCTGAGGCCCCGCCCGCCTGTGCCCTGTCTCCCCAATTAGAGCTGTGCGTAGCCCGCCTAGCTTTTACCGGAAGAGGTTCGCTCTCGCCCCGCAGAGCAAAAAAGTGTGTCATGGATTCGCTAACACCTCACCCGTGTCCATGGTAGGCGTTTGATAGTAGGCCGTGGTAGAGGGAGCTGGTCCGAGTTTTAATCACAAGGGTTCGTGGTGATCGAGTCTCTTGTTTCATGTGCTCGATACATGTCTGGTGCCGCGAGTGCTCTGCTGGAGTTGGCACTGGTCCCGACTGCACGTTGGACAGTTGGTGCCAGGCGGCACCCAGATGCGCACTGATCAGCCTTGTGTACTGCTGATTTTTTGGGCTGGTCCGTATTCGACATAGGCCGTTATCCTTCTGGATGTTCATGGTGATGAGCGCCAGAGTCGGAGGTCTTTTCGCCGAGCAATTACGATCAAACAGGTGCTTCTTTTCCATTTCATTGGATATTCGTTTCTGCGACGGGCTTTCTGAGACTCGGCTTCAGGCTGTGGTGCACATATTGGCCCGAGCTCCTGTCATACCCTTACTGTGCTACGGGATGCCAGTGTGCACCGGAATGGTGACGCGCCAACTTCTGCCTAAGCGCGTGGCATCAGTTTATTTGTCGCAGATGTTGTGCTCTCGAGGGTAGTGCGCATGTCGTTAGAAGCAGTTTTGGGCACCAGTGATGACGAAGCAGGTACTTCTCCTTGGGATGAGAGCCTCTGCGACGGGCTGTCTGAGGAGCTGTGGCCAGCTGGTTTCAATTCTTTACACTTCGCGTAGGGTCCAGCACTGGTCCAAAGGCTGACCACGCCGTCGGTGCCTGGCGGGACCCCGGCAGACCCTGGCAGTCGGGCGGCCGCGTGGCAGGAGCGGGACAGCTCCCCGGGCTTGCCCGAAGCGCGACCGCTTCCGTGGGACGTCCCTACCCTCCCGTAGCAGCCGCAGCTGCTCCTTGGCTTATACTAAACTCTGAGCAGCCGTCAGCTGCACCCCTGGTAACATGGGCACATTGGCAGGTACATTGATGCCGGCAGGCCGCCGACAAAGGGACCAGCAGGTCGACAGTAGACAGTGCTACCCGTCGGGAAGCTCTGCTCGTACATTGTCCTGGCACTGTGGGTGCTAGATGGCAGCACAACGCTGGAAACAATAAGTGTCCCCGCACGTCCCTTTGGACGTGGACTTCCATACGAATCAGTGCGGCCGTCAGCCGCCCCCTGGGCACGCTCCCCTGGACGTGTACTCCATACGAACCCGTGCGGCCGTCAGCCGCTCCCTGGCTCCCGCCCCTCTCTCTTTCTCTCTCCTGGCGCCGGGTGTCCCTGGCGGGCCCCTCCGTGTGGCCGGCTGGTGATGTCTGTCCCCACCGCCCCCGCCACAGGAGGGTCCCACACGGGCAGGGTGGCCTGTCAAGGACCCCGTGACCCTGCATCGCAATGTGGGTGATCGCCACCTGGCGCTGTCGCCACCTGGTGCCTACTCTCCCGGCCGCGCTGGCGACGTCCATCCCCGCCAGTCAGGCTTCCTCTCCGCGCAATCCGCGGTTCCTCTCACGTCGTGACCGTGTGGCCATGGGCCGGGCCCACAGGTGCCATCGCCTTCGGGCCGGTTCGTTGCCACTTGCTCGGGACGGGTGTGCCCCACTGGATACGTGCGTGGCGTCTCGGAGTGGTCCAGCCTTCCGTCGGTCGCTGTGCTTCCATCCTCGTTCCGTCCCAGCCGACCAGGCTGGTCTACGCCGTCGACACGGCCCTGGCCCTTGGCGCCCCCCAGCGACGTGACCAGTGTGTACCTAGCCTTTCCCCACTGCAGTGTCTGTGAGGATTGTACGTGCAGGCCACTCTCTGCCTGTCCCGACAAGCACCTTCACCGTGGTGGACTGGCGCCGCGGCGCGTAACACAGAATTCCCTTGCATTTTGCAACAGGGCTGCACGATGCTCGAGCTTCCCTGGGCGTTGCAGTTCAGCCAGCCAGCCCCCCGTCGCCGCTGCCGCAGCTGCTGCCTCTGAGTTCTGGCCCGGCCGGCTCGCGCTGCGCCCAGCAGCTAATCAGGTTTGCCCGTCGGCCTGGACACCCTGTTCGCCGCCTGCGCTCTTCGCCTGCGGCCGCGACCAAAAAAGTATCCTCACCAGCC